ATAGGGTGAATTTGCCATCCCCATGCACTTTGAACCAGTTTTATGATTTTATCTTCATGGCAACAAGCCTCTGCTTTGAGGAAGAGCACTTATTAACTAGAGACAGCGTCGTTTTCAAAGTGATTTATTTTATGAGAGTTTTGAAATAAATGATCAGTCAGTGATTGGCCATAGGGGAAAAGCATATAAAAGCTTACCACATGCACTGAACATACCATCTGGTATTCTTTAAAATCTAGCTTCAGGGTGGCTCAGCTAATTCTTCAGAGTGCTTGATGTTCACAGAGCACACTGAAGCATGAATTGAAAAGCGAGTGACATCGCCCTGTAAGAATCAGCACTGGAACTAAAGATTAATATCTTATATCTCACTGTTCCAGCCCATCAGCAAGAGACTGGCATTTTCTTAATGAAACTGACGTTATATTCCAGAATTTTAAACTTGATTTTAAAAAAAAACCCTTTTTTTTTTCGAGTTGGATAGAAAGTGATGCCTGCACTGTGTGCTGTTCCTCCTGACTGGCTGATGTAAAAGGGAGGTACAACAAAGATATTGTTATTGTTCCTTTGAATTTACTGTTCACGGCATGAACAGCCCTCCGGGTGGGATAAAGTTCCCTGCCTCTGATGCCTGTCACAGCTCAAGATCTGTGCTATTGTCCCCGAAAAGTACCAAATCAGACAATTTAAGTATTGTCTGTTGGTCTTTTACCCCAAAACAAAGGCTGAGGCAGGCAATTATGCCCAATTTTGTCACTGAAAGACAAGAGAGATGCTGAAACCGGAGGGAGTTCAGCAGGGGCCACTGGCACAGTCGGGGGCCAGAGCATGAAGAAAGGCTGTGGAAATTGTATTTCTGAGCTGGGAGAGAGGCTAGGAAGGAGCTCACGGCAGCCTCCAGCCATCCAGGCGGGTGGCACTGAGTGGGCAGAGGTACGTGCCAGGAGAACAAGCCACAAGTCCAGCAAGGGAAAGTGTGACAGGATGCAGGGAATAAGGGCAGCTCTCACAGGGGCTGTTTCCAGGGATGGACATCCAGAGAGGTAGAGCAATCTCTGACTTTGGAGACACTCAGAACTCAGGCAGACAAGGTTCACAGCTATCCCTGTTCTGAGACAGAGGTTAGACCAGAGCTTCCTTCCAACCCAAATATTTACACGAGGCTGAGCTAAAAACAGAGTGGCCAACACTTGGAGCACGCAGGCAGGGTGCAGGCCCTGCAATGGAGGCCTGTACTGAAGAACTGCCCTCACATTACTACACCAAACAGCCTTTCTGAATCATTTAAATTCACTGTTTCACCCCAACATTTCTTTCATTACATTATTTAGCGTGCTAATTAACATCTTGCAATAGGATGTGGCCAGGGCTCGGTGCTGGCCCTTCCCAAGACCTATTCCTGGCACTGAGATGAATCAATTGAATGTAAATTCCACACTGGCACAGGCTGCCCAAAGAAGCTGTGGTTGCCTCAATCCTGGCAGTGTTCCAGGCCAGGCTGGACAGGGTTTGGAGCAGCCTGGGATAGTGGAAGGTGTCCCTGCCCATGGCATGGGCTTGGAACAAGATGGTCTTTAAGGTCCCTCCCAACCCAAACCAGTCTGGGATTAATTTTACAGCCTTCAGCATATACATACACACAGCTGAAGAGCTGCATTTGCCCAAGGGAGGGAAGAAAGTTCAGAAATTCATCATTTTCTACTTCTACACATTGAGTGATCCCAACGTCATACTCAGTGAGGTTGGCTGCTGAGATTATTGATTAAAAGTGCTTTTGCAGTCCCAGTCTGATATTTAAAGTGAGACATCACCACTGTTGTCGGCTGCATGTTTGCTCATTAATTAGGGTTTCTAACTACCAGATTGCTCAGGAAGAAATGTCAGGCTCTGGGGACTCCTGCTGTCACCACTGGCAGCCCAGGACACAGCAGCAGCGCCCACAGCGCTGCCCTTTGAAGTGTGGAAAAGCAAAGGTGCCCTGAACACAGCTGGGAGGAGGATTGAGTTCATTCTTATTTGCTCATTTCTCCCACCGAGGCCACGTCAAGAGGGCTGCTCCTGCAGGAACTCCCAGTGATCCCTGGACTCGGAAAGGCAATTGTGAAAGAGCTGTGAAGTCAGCCCAAAATTTCCGTGGCTTTTATTTAAATTCAGAGGGCAGGTGGTCATGTCCTTATGGGATGGGGTCTATGGTAAATGCCCATTTAGTTTTGGTAGTAAATATTTATGAAAATTAGTCAGTAAAAACATTGCAGTTTCATGCCTGTTAGCTACCACAGAATTACAGAATGGTTTGGGCTGGAAGGGACTTTAAAGACCATCTTGTTCCACCCCCTGCCATGGGCAGAAACATCTTCCACTATCCCAGGTTTTCCAAACCCCATCCAAACTGGCCTTGGACACTTGCAGGGATCCAGGGGCAGCCACAGCTTCTCTGGGCACCCTGTGCCAGGGCCTCATCACCATCACAGATAGGAATTCTTCTGAATAACCCATCCATCCCTGCTGTCTGGAAGCATTCCCTGTGTCCTGTCCCTCCATCCCTTGTCCCCAGTCCCTCTCCAGCTCTCCTGGAGCCCCTTCAGGCCCTGCCAGGGGCTCTGAGCTCTCCCTGGAGTCTCCTCCTCTCCAGGTGAGCACCCCCAGCTCTCCCAGCCTCCCTCCAGCCCTTGCAGCATCTCCATCATTTCCTCTGCACTTGCTCCAGCAGCTCCACCTCCTGATTTTGGGGGCCCCAGAGCTGGACACAACACTCCAGTGAGGTCTCAGGAAACTGGAGCAGAGGGGCAGATCCCCCCCTTTTCCCTGCTGCTCACTCTCCTGGGAACACAGCCCAGGACAAGGGCGGTTTCTGGGCTGTCAGCGCCCTGCTCTTGCTCCTACCACTGAATTATCCCTGTTACTTCAGAAAGGGCCAAATAATGACCTTGAAAAGCACAAACAGATGCTCCCTCCCAAGGGAAGGGCGCCAGCATCATGTGCTGGGCATGGGCCGTGCCCGCGTTTCTGCTGAGTTTAACGGAATTCTCCGGGCATGGAAAGGCTCGGGATTAGTGCCATAGCTGGGAAGGGCAGGGCAGGTGTGAAAAACGCCAAACACTTATGTTCAATATTTTAAAAGTTTAATGGTAATAAAATGGCTATAAAAATAGTAATAAAATTAGAGTAATAAAAATTTGTACAGTTAGGATTTAGGACAATACGAGACAATAAGAACAAAGAGTTACGGATGGTCTGGGTACCTTTTCTGGGCAAAATAAGCCCTAAAAAAGACACACATTAACAGAGGATTAACCCTTAAAAACAACAGCCTGTTGCATATTCATACACCTCATACATGATGCAGAAATTCCATTCAAACACAGGATTCTGTCTGGTCAGTGTGAACTTCTTCCTCTTAATGCTGAAGGCATATTCAGGGCTGAGCAAGGCAGGAAGAAGTTCATTTCTTCTGATAATGGGGCAATAAATTCTCTTTCTCTGAAAGATTTAGGTGTCCTGTGGCTGCTATCTGGTGCAAGTACCTCACTCCTTTCTTAAAAAAATATCCCACATACACAGTTTCTATTTTAACTTTATGTTATATCCTAAAACTGTATTTAACACACTACTTAAAATAATTAGTACAGCATAACTTTCTAACATAACACATATAATATTCATTTGAATATTTGCGAAAAGCCAATCATAAAATACGCATTTTTCACAGCAGGGAACCACATCGTGTGTTTGGGCCCTGCCACGGGGGCTGCGGACACGGAGACACACAATGACAGGGGAAAAGGGAAAAATGCAGATTTCAGGTGCAGCTTTAGGTTTGAAGGTGAAAATTGGATGATTTGGGATAACTTAAGATGAAAATGTGGGGGTATTTTGTGCAAGGTGAGGGGAAATCCTGGCCAGTGGTCATGGCCACAAGGCTGACAGAGCTTTCAGGAGCATGGTGGAATTGTTGGAGCTGTGGGATTGCCTTCAGTCGTTCCTACTGGGCAAGAAGAAAATCAGAACTGGATTTTCAGCAGTCATATAGATCCATTAGAAACAGCTGTTTGTGTGATTATTAATTACGCAGTTTATACGATTGTTAATTACACTGTTAAACATGGCAGGAGTTGTGCAGCTTCTGCTGAAGTGTTTGCGCTGGCAGCTGCAGGTCTAAACAAATCAATGTTCTTGGAGATTTTACTGGAACCATCAATGGCAATTTACCTTGTACACAGAAATAACATTTTAATTTCTTAGTAGTTAAACTGATACTTTTTTTTTACACTAAGAATATTTCGACTTTTTTTCCCCATTGAAGGGAGAGAAAGTAAGCACTTTGCTTTGTCGGTTTCTTGGAGCTTTTACTGGAACCACCAATGGCAATTTGCCTTATACACAGAAATAACATTTTAATTTCTTAGTAGTTAAATTGATATTTTTTTAATCTAATAATATTTCTACATTTTTCCCCGTTGAAGGGACGGAAAGTAAGCGTTTTGCTTTGTCAGTTTCTGCTGCAGGTCTTGAACTGCACGGCGCAGATTTTGATTCACGGACGAAGGGGGCGACAAATCAAGATATAATTTTAATTCTTTTTAATGAAAGTGGTAAAAATGGTGGCGAAATGGTGGTGAAACGCTGTTTAAGAGCAGCTCACGGGACCGCCAGGCCGGGTCCCCTCAGGGGCCGCGCCCGCCCCTCAGGGCAGGCGTCACGTGACCCCATCCAGCCGCGCGGCGTTTATGGGCGGAGAGGGCGTGATCTCATGACTAATGGGCGTGGTATGTTATGCAGATATAATGGGCGTGGTTATGTGGTGGGTGTGGTCCGTGACGCGCTCTGTGGGCGGGAGAGGGGCGTGGCCAGACCGGGGCGGGCGGTGTCGGTGACACAGCGGCCGTAGAGGGGCGTGGCCGAGCGCGCGCCCCTCCGGTGTGGCGGGGGGTGGGCGTGGCCGCCGTGACGCAGTTCCGGTTCCGGTGCCCGTCGCGGTGGCGGTGGAGCTGCGGCCGCCGCGTCGCTCCGGGCCTGCACCGGCTCCCCTCGCTCAGGTACCGGCCCCGGCCCCGCCGCCGGCAGGGGAGCGCGGGAGGGCGGGGGGGCTGCGGCCGCCGAGCCGCCGGGCCGCGCCTCAGCCATCCCGGAGGTGCCGCCCCGCCTGCGGGGGGCGGGCGGTGCTGGTCCCTGCAGAGCACCGGGGATCGCTCGTGGCGGGGCCTGGTGGCTCGGGAGCGGCGGTGGCGGCGCTGGCTTGGCTGGGTTCAATATTTGCACGGCTTCTTTATAATTTTTTTTTTTTTTTTGTATTTTGCGGCCGTAGTTTATTAATGAGCAAATCAATGAGCGTGGATTGCATTTGAGTGAGTTTAAGTTAAAGCTTCCTCTCTAAAGAAGGGCTCGGGAAAGGCGGTTTGGCAGAGTTGGTGAGAAGTTGGTTTATCAAATTTTAACGTGTTTAAGGCAGCTGATGTACAGGGGATGGCCAGCACTGTGTGGTATCAGGTTTTATTTCTGATGAAAAACTTGTTTCCAGGAGAATTCCGTGGAGAACGGTGCTGATCTGATGCTCCTCAGCCTTGGTGGTGGAGCTCCTCATTGCCAGTAGAAAAGAAGCTGCTTTGTCTTTTTGAAGGCAAAATGACACGCCCTGAGAGTGCCCTTCCTCAGGGGCTGAAGGAAAAATTCGTGGTGAATATCAGGCCAGGCCTGGGAAGCGTTTTGGGCATTCTTGAAGCTTGAGTTCATTCAAATGCATTTTAGCCGTACCAGCTGAAGAAAGGTGGCAGGTGTAAATCCTGAAAAGTGATTTTTCTGGAGTAGAAATGTCTCTGGGTTTGTGTGTCAGAGGTGGGGGTACAGCTGCAGTGAGACACGTGGGTTTGGTGGTTTTTTAGGGGGTGGCACACCAAAACCCTGTTTGACAGTCACTCCTCAGAGTCAGAGCGTTCATTCCATCCAAAACAATGACCATAATGAACTGATAATGCTCGAGAGGAGAACAGAGGCTGCTCAGGAAAGCCGGGGCTGTCCCTGGATCTCTGGCAGTGTTCCAGGCCAGGCTGGACAGGGCTTGGAGCAGCCTGGGATGATGGGAGGTGTCCCTGAATGGCAGGGGTGGGATGGGATGAGCTTGATGCCCCTCCACCCCAAACCACTCTGGGATTCTGTGATGTGAGGCTCTGTAGCTCTCAAGATAATTCAGAGGCAGCTCTGAAAGATCAGCTGGAATCATTCCAAGCTGCTGCAATAACAGATCTGTTTCAGGATCCCCAGGGCTGGGTGCTGTGGACAGGAGGGATCTTGGGCAGGGGATCTCTGTTGTGCCCTGGCTCTGTGTCACAGCTGGCACAAACAGGGCACCTCCCCTGCTCCCCAGTGTGGGGCCATCTGCTGGGCTTGGGGACCAGCTCTGGGCTGGGAGGGGAGGCAGCTGTGGAGCTGAATGGCCTGGTGAGGATGAGGAGCTGGCACACATCACAGATCCTTATGGCTTTGTGTTTTACAGCTCTTGGAAACTGCCAACTCCTCCTCTGTTTTGAGGAATTATTTTCTCTTTGGTAGTTGACAATTTATAGCAAATGTCACCATTTGGTTGTTGGTCTTGATGACATCAGTCCTGAATATCTGAAATTTTACTTTTGTCATTTTTTTCATTTATAACAGACAGGGAAAGGGGCAGAAATATCCCCAAACCTCTCATAGCCACTGATGATGTAGCTGTTGGGTTAGTTTGTTAATTAACTTTATTTCACCAATGGATAAACACTCAGGGCACACCAAATTATTTTATGGTGTGTGAGCACTGGGGAGGCTTTAAGGATGAGGAAGGGGCCAGAGAAGATGATCAGGGGGCTGCAGCAGCTCTGTGTCCTGTGAGGAAAGGCTGGGAGAGTTGGGATGGTTCATCCTGGAGAAGAGAAGGCTTTGGGGTGATCCCATTGTGGCCTTGCAGTACCTGAAGAGAGTCTGCAAGAAAGATGGAGAGGGGCTGGTTAAAGTGACAGGGCACAGGGAATGGCCTCCCAGTGCCAGAGGGCAGGGATGATTGGGATTTTGGGAAGGAATTCTTCCCTGTGGGGGTGGGCAGGCCCTGGCACAGGGTGCCCAGAGCAGCTGTGGCTGCCCCTGGATCCCTGTGAGTGAGCAGCAGGGAAAAGGGGGGATCTGCCCCTCTGCTCCAGTTTCCTGAGACCCCCACTGGAGTGTTGTGTCCAGCTCTGGGCCCCCAAAATCAGGAGGTGGAGCTGCTGGAGCAAGTGCAGAGGAAATGATGGAGATGCTGCAAGGGCTGGAGGCAGGCTGGGAGAGCTGGGGGTGCTCACCTGGAGAGGAGGAGGCTCCAGGGAGAGCAGGGAGGGACTGGGGGGCTCCAGAGAGCTGGAGAGGGACTGGGGACAAGGGATGGAGGGACAGGACACAGGGAATGGCTTCCAGAGGGCAGGGATGGATGGGAGATTGGGAATTGGGAATTCTTTATAATGAGAGTGCTGAGGCCCTGGCACAGGGTGCCCAGAGCAGCTGTGGCTGCCCCTGGATCCCTGGCAGTGCCCAAGGCCAGGCTGGACAGGGCTTGGAGCATCCTGGGACAGTGCAAGGTGTCCCTGCCATGGCAGGGGGTTGTAACAAGATGATCTCTAAGGTCCCTTCCAGCCCAAACCATTCTGGGATTCTCTAAAGGCCGACTCTGAAGTGTTGATAGTTAACGCCTGAAGCTGCAGAAATTTGCATATTTTAGAAAACATTTAGAAGCCGTCAAAGACTTGGTGTCTCTTCCATTTTCTCCGGGTGCTATGTTGGGTAGTTCCACTTATGTGGGCAGAGATGCTGTTGTGGATGAGGTGGTGCTGGCAGGAATTAGTCATGGTGGAGTGACAAAGGAACCTCTCTGCCGAGGCTGCTGTGCCACCCAGTGGAAATGCAGCACAGCCTGTTGCATATCCAGAAAACCTTTTTTCTGTGTTTGAAAGATCATCTTGGAGACAGGAACTAAATCTGGCACATCAAGTGTTGGAATAATGTCATACAACTCAAAAAAAAAAATAAAATAGGAAAGCAGTTGATGCTTAGTTTTGGGTTAGAAAAAGTGCTTTGGATGGCTCTTCCTAATGAGGGTCTGTAAGGACTGATGGTGGATAAAAGCCAGGAAAGGCAAAAACATGGGAAAAATTGCTACTACACCATAGTTTCAGTGAGATGGATGCAATCCAAGAGGGTTTGGAGCTGAAGAAACCATCGTGGAGCTGGTTTGTTGTGGAAGCTGTGCAGCAGGATGGATTTAGCACGGCACACGTAGCACCAGGCTGCCAGAACCAGGCACAGAGCTCCCTTACAGTCAGCCCTGCTTGTGGAGGCTCTTGGAAGAACTCTCCTGCCAGAGCTGGGTTGGAATTGTGCTTCCCAGAGCAGCCTCTCTCATCTCACCTCCCTGCTGGTAATTTCTGGGAGCAGCTCATGGAGAGGATATCCAGGAGCCCTTGGCCTCTGGCCTGAAGGTTTTGCAGGGTGTAATTTCTAGGCAGGTGCACTGAAATCCTTCTTGCCTCTCATGGCTGTTCAGGATAAAGGGTGAGAGGGACTCAGCTCCTGGCAGCTTTGTTTTTGCAGGCATCGATCATCTCTCTCCATCCAGCTCCGAGGTGGCTGAGAGGTGCTGCCCTGAGCAGCAGAGCTGGAGCTGGCTGGCTCTGGGCTCCTGGGAAGGCAGAGATGTTTCCAGGGGCGTTGGCCTTCAGAAAACAAAGGGAATCTTATCTTACAGCACCGTGGAATGCAAGCAGGACTTGACTCTGAATGCTGCCAGCTCTGTTGTCTTTCTGCTCCCTGCCAAGTGACTTTAACTCCTGAACCCTCCTTCCATTTGTTCTTTCTTCATCCCAGCTGCAGGGAGGATAATTTGGAGTAGAGTTGGAATGTGGCAGAATGAATGTCTGCTCCATGAATGGGATTCTCTGCTGCTATCAGTGCTTGTGCACCAGGAAAGCTCCAAGAGATAATTGGTTCATTCTAATGACTCTGAAAATCCCATCAAGTCACCAATCAGTGTGGGGTTGTTTTTTTGTTTTTTTTTTTTTTCTAAAATCTTGAGCCCATGTGTGACCTGGAGGGACTTTAAAATTTACTTACTTGGGGGTCTTCTGTCTGTCACTGTCTCTGAGTCTGATTGGTGAGCATGTGAATGCCTTGGGCAATAATTGTAATAATATAATTGATATTCCTGTAAGGTTTTGACTGGGATTCTTTGACTAGTGTTGAACAAGCTGAATGGAATATAGATTCCAGATTTAAGTACAGATGAGTTCGTATGTTGTCTGAAAGGGTAATTTCAGTTTCTTTTTTATGAAATGAAGGTGGCAGTACCCAGATTAAATGTCTGTTTAAAAAACATCCCTGAAATAGGGCATCCTTTCTGCAAGAGGATCCTTGACATGCTTGGCATGGGCTCAGTTATCCCAAATGTTGCCAACAAATGTTGCTCTTGTCTGCTTGCCAAAGTAAAAAAGCAACTAAATCTCATTATAAGCTATGCTTAACTACTTTTTTTTCTTCTTCTTTTTTCTTTTTTTTTTTTCATAATCGTGCAGCAGAATTGTTCCTTCATTATCATGGCACAGAAATATTTGGGAATGATCTGCTAACACATATTTGGGATATCAGTTAATATTTGGGAAGCAGGCTTGTTTCAGCTGTGTTCACCCACTGCTTGACTTGAATTTACTCCTCTCTGACACTTTTGTGACAGATCACAGGATTTTCTTCTGAGTTCTCCTTTAGTTTCCTTTCTTCTCTTCCTTCTCTCCCTCGCAGCAAATGTTCCAACTTCTTCTGTGGACTATTTTCAGTCTGTTGTAGATCTGGTTTTCAGTTGGTTTTATCCCATCTCTCCATCTGCCTAAATGAGGATTCTCTTGACCTGTTTTGGTGGTTTTTTTAATAACTTGATGATGATGATGATGATTATCTGTGCATTTATGTAAAAGGTTTTTTGTACTTGTCTGTGCATTAATGATTGTTTTCCTTTATTTTGGGGGTTATGATAAATAGCTTCTCTGTCCATGGAGGTAAATTGGACCACAGTACCACCAAAAATCCCCTGCCAACTTATTGAGTGTGGTTAATTGCAAAAATTAATGAATTCTTAGCAGAAGAGGTATTTCTTGAAGAGAAATTGAGTTTGTCATAGATGTCTCAGACAGCTGAGCTGTAATAGCAGGAGCAGAAACCACTTCCCTGATGTAGTTCAGTTGGTTTCTCAACTTTAAACAAATAATCCTTGATCTGAAATGTTCCTCATCTGAGACAGAGAGTCCTTACTTGAAAGAACTACTGCTGTTATAAATTAATACTGGAGTTTTAACTAACCTTTGTATTCATGCAGTTAGGCCCTGAATTCCATCAACTTTGTAGATACATATTTCTTAAAATATTTGTTTAAATTATTAGGTGTTTCCTGACAGGTTTATTTAAATTACTAGGTATTTCTTGAAAGGTTTATTTAAATTACAAGGTATTTCTTAAAAGGGTTATTTAAATTATTAAGAGTAACTTGAAAAGTTCACTATGTTTCCACAGAGGTCTGGGTTGTTCCATGTGGTCATAAATAACTTGGGAAATGAGATGAGCAGTGTCCTGTTGATACAAAGCCATTCAGGAAAGTAAGGATTGGGTAATAAATTAGCAGAAATAATTCAATGGCAATAAATCTGCTGTGATTCAGAGTAGATAAATGTAGAGTGGTGCATATAATTTCACATATAAAATGCTGGGCTGACCCTTGACACTGAGGAGTGAAATATTGCCCCAGAAGTGTCAGTTCCATAGGGATCTAAAAGCAACTGAAAAATGAAGAAGTATCAGGAAGGAAATAGAAGACAAACCAGAGCATGATTATGATACTGTATAAATCAATGGTTATCCCACATCTTCAATGCTCTGTGGTTCTTTCTTGTCATTCATCCCAAAAGATACAAAAGACTTGGAAAAGCCTCAGATTGAGGCAGGGAGAATAATCAAAGGTAGGGAAGAGCTGCTGCACCAGGGTCAGGGGAATGAGCTGGGACTCAGCCTGGAGAAGGGAAAGATGAAAGAAAATGGTAAAAATCTGTAGGATAATGATCAGCATGGGCAGGGTGGGTAAGAATAGACTTGCTGATTTCCTCAGCTGCAAGAATGGAGGAGCTACAAGTGAAGGTAGTAAAATCCAGGTTTAGAACAAAAAAAGGAGGTGGCTTTTGTGCAACAAATAGCAGCCTGTGGAGTGCCCTGCCAGTGGGTGTTGTAGGAACAACTCTGAACTGGGCAAATGAGACATCCCCTCATCTAAGTGAGGAAACTGGATGTGTTTGTGGAAAAGGAATTATTTGAGGGTTATTGCTCCATGGAAATTGTCTACAGCTTAGGAAGTGGCTGAGATTTGAATCATTGAAGTGTTGGGGTGAGAGTCATTCCTGTTCTTGTTCTTCTCTGCTGGTCATTGTTAAGATAAAATGGGATGGTCTCTACTAGTTCAGATAAAATGGGATGCTGAGCTAAGTGGCCCCTTGTCTGATCAGAGCTGTCCTGAGGTCAGGAGATTGTGTGAATAGTAACAAACTTAAAATACAGTTTCAGAGAAGATTGTACAAATAATATAATGTAAGTAATGTGGATATATATTAACCTAACGGAGTAAAATGTAAATAATGTGGATATATATTAACCTAAGGGAGCTTACAGACCTGTTTGATCTGGGCTTTCTGTACAAACCTCCATCCCTGAGACCATTCTCTGTCTTAGCAGTCAGTTCTTCACCATCAACAAGGGGAGTACAAGGATTGTGTTTTGTGGGGACCAGCTTTGCAGTAGTATTTGTACTCTTGACTTCTGTTTTACATTTTTCCTGCTCTTATGTTCCTTTCTGGCTCCTACCCTCTACCCTAAAACTTTTTGGCTGCTCTTGGTAATCTTTTTAACAGTTCCTCACCTCTGGTTATGTGTTAATATGTCTCACTGGTCCCTAATTTTTAGTGCCTATTTATGTGGAAGTGAGGAGAGGTTGGAAGTTGGATACATGTTAGTGACACCTCTGCAGTCAATTACTGCAGTTGGGGAATGTAAATAAAAGCATCCTCTGCCCTTGGTGTTGTTATTTATTCTGAAATAATTGGAGGATAAACCATCACCAAACTATAGTTCTTTTATTTTTGGCAATGAGATCCATGGGGGGATTCCAGCTCTGAGGTCCCCAACATAAGAAGGACATGGACCTGCTGGGACAAGTCCAGAGGAGCCACGGAGCTGCTCCCAGGGCTGGAGCCAGGCTGGGAGAGCTGGGGGTGCTCACCTGGAGAGGAGGAGGCTCCAGGGAGAGCTCAGAGCCCCTGGCAGGGCCTGAAGGGGCTCCAGGAGAGCTGGAGAGGGACTGGGGACAAGGGATGGAGGGACAGGAGCCAGGGAATGGCTGCCAGTGCCAGAGGGCAGGGATGGGTGGGAGATTGGGAAGAATTCTGAGGGTGGTGAGGCCCTGGCACAGGGTGCTCAGAGCAGCTGTGGCTGCCCCTGGATCCCTGGAGGTGTCCAAGGCCAGGCTGGATGGGCTTGGAGCAGCCTGGGATAGTGGCAGGCATCCTTGCCCATGGCAGGGGGTTGTAACTGGGTGATCTTTAAAGTCCCTTCCAACCCAAACCATTCCATCATCCTCTGATTTAATCATGTTTTGGTTTAGAGGCATTGACTTCACCCACAAGAATCCTGCTATACCTTTTCCAAATCCCAGTTTAGAAAACACCTGGAATCCTTCCCAGGCATCCCTGTCTGAGCAGGCTCCATATGCTCCATATGAATGCTTAAAATATTTTTTGCTATTGCAATGTGACCCATTTCCATCCTGGGTCACACCTGTCTGACAGGAGGCAGGTGGAGGCTCAGGCCTTTCCTTCCCTTTATCCAGAGAAAGGTGTTTGGGTCACTCTGTGAGCACAGGGAGGCAGCTGGGACAGCAATAAACCCAGGGCTAAAACACAGAGAGTAAATTTATTCCCATTATCTCACTAAGTGGGGATCCCCAAGGCAACACCTGGCACAGGTGTCCTGATCCCTGCTCCAGGAGCTGCTGTGGGCCACAGGCTCTGCAACCAAGGCACCAAGAGGTGCTGCAGGTTCAGCACCTGCTGTGCTCCAAATGAGACAAATGTAGATGTCTCAGTTAGTCTTGCTTAAAAATACCTTTATTATTTTCAACAAATTTCACTTTATCTTACCTTACTTTTCAGCACAATGTCTGGAACTGATGATTTTTCGGTAAGTAACAGTTTTTCTTTCCTGAAGATCAGCTGTCACCATCATATTTTCTGAAAAATCTCTTTGCCCAGGATTTTTCTCCTGGGAAGCTGAGAAGCCTCAGAGAAAAAAGAAAATAATAATTATCTGATTTGCTTCTCCTGTGTTTTGCTGCTTTAGAATGTAGTTGGAAATTGTTTATCCAACATGTGAATTGTTTTTACTTATTGGCCAATGATGACCAAGCTGTGTCAGACTCTGAAGAGAGAATCACAGGTTTTTCATTAGTATCTTTGAGCCTTCTGTCTGTATCCTTTCTCTATTCTTTAGTATAGTTTAGTTTAGTATTCTTTAATATAATATAGATCATAAAATAATAAATTAGCCTTCTGAGAACATGGAGTCAGGTTCATCATTCCTCCCTTCGTCGGGGGTCTCAGAAAATGCCACAATCAGCCAGTTGTGTTGATTATACCTAAAGCTGACCTGGTTTTTTGAAGGAAAAGGGGAGAAGACAGCTGAGACATTTCCTCTGTGTGGCAGTGGTGGTGTTTTCCTTTTGGGTAGATGTAGCAATCCCTGGACTAAACGTCAGAAGCTGCTGGGTGCCTCGTGGGTTCTCTCCTGTGACATTAACCAAGGAGCTGTGCTTTCATGGCATCAGGATAGTTGCAATGGAAATTTAGGGAAATGTTTTCAGGTTTGTGCTGCAGCTGCCTGCTGTTCCGTGTGGTGGGTCGCCTTTTATCTCTGGCTTTTGAACTGTGGCCTGTCAGAATGCCTCTGCTGCCTTAGCGATAGGAGCTGCACAAAAATGAATGTAATCATCTCTGTGCAGCCACCAGAGCTCCTCTCCTCCCTCCCTCCCTCCCTCTCTCCGGCAGCTGGGCTGTAGCCACGTGGTGGGGGGATGTCTGCAGCCGGGAATTCCGGCCCGCACATTCCATCCTCACCGCCGCTTTGTCTTTCAGTTGGCAGATGCTTTACCAGACCAGTCGCCTGCTAAAACCTCCAAAGTGAGCAGCACCAAGCCTGGCCAGCAGCCCGGGCAGCCTCCGCAGGGCTGGCCGGCTTCCAACCCTTGGAATAACCCCAGCGCCCCCCCTATGACTCCAACGGGACTGCCACCAAACACCTCGGCTTCCAGCGTGCCCTTCGGACCTCCTCCCACGGGAATGTATCCTTCAATGCCCCCGGGACCGCCTGCTCCATTTCCTCCTCCTCCTACTGGACCCTCCTGCCCTCCTCCTGGTGGTCCATATCCACCCCCAACTGTGCCAGGTCCTGTCCCACCAGGGCAGTATCCTCCACCAAATATGCCCTTTCCAGAGCTTCCACGACCTTACGGAGGTCCAACAGAGCCAGCTGCACCTCCTGCTCCTGTTGGGCCATGGGGATCCATGCCCTCTGGAGCATGGGGACCAACAATGGGAGGGCAGTATCCTGCTCCCAGCATGCCATATCCACCCCCAGGGCCATACTCTGCTCCCACCCAGACTCCAGGGGCTGCGCCGACGGTACCATGGGGTACGGTCCCGCCTGGAACGTGGGGACCGTCACCGCCCGGCCCATTCCCTCCACCCACAGGATCATATCCAGCTCCAGGACTATATCCTACGCCCCCTAATCCTTTTCAAGTGCCATCTGGTCCTGCTGGTGCTCCATCAATGCCTGGTGGTCCCCATGTGAGTATTTCATTTTGGTGTCAAGTTACTATAAAGTGTTTCGCTTTTAAGTGGGGAAATTCAGTAGCATAAAAGCCGTTAGTGCAGGTAAGGAGTTTGAGCACACCTCAAGTTTTGTTCCTCAAGTCAGTGGGATAACAGCAATTTAAATATTAAATATACCAGAATGGCTAAATTATGTTCATGTCTCACATTTATATTATATAATATTATATAATATGATATAATATTATATCATATTATATCGTATTATATCGTATTATATCATATCATATCATACTATATCATAGTATATCATATCATATTTTACATATTATATTGCATATTATATTACATATCATATGTCATATCATATATAATATCAAATAATGGCATTATTGTATTATTTAATTATTATATTATGTCTCACATTATATACATCTGTATTATTATTTTATACATACATATAAATAATTATTAGATTATTATAGTGGTCTTCCACTCCTTGGAAAAACTCTGAAAGCCAAAAAAAGGGGGAAAGCGTAATAATTCTGAAGGAGAAAATATCTTGATCTCTTTAATCAAGAAGAATTGCTCCCCTTGCTGATAGAGCAATAGGGAAGGAATAACAGAATATAAAGATGAATTTGTGATTAATTAACAGTATTTGTAACTGTGAATGAACTGCTGTGTGAAAAACCTGTATTGACCATGCCTTATTGTCTCTTGCAGCCTTACCGCTGAATACATTCTGGGCAACAAAATACTGTAGTTTTCCACCTTCATCCACTACTTACAGAGATTTTTACAGTTTTTGTTTCAGTAATGTATGGGGCTATGAAGAATATTGCCTCTTGTATGTGCATTTGAGGTATGAAAGAGCAGTTTACATCAATTTACCTTGCTCATATGCTGGCATAATTATTTGGTTTAATCAAGTGAAATACAAAGAGAAGAAATCAACTAACACACCTGTGGTTCTTATGTTGGCAAGTATTCCTTGGAAAAACAGGAGTTGCCATGTAAGGATTATAAAGAATCAGGCCCATGGAATTTTAAAAAGTCAATTCTTGAATAAATGCTTTAAGTCTCGTTGCCAGACTCCTGCTGGTCATTGAACGGATGGATAGTCATATTTTGTCTATTTTCAGGTTATTCTAAAAAGTCAATAGAGAAAGTGTTTCAACATTTTAGTCAAGAAACCTAATTTTTGAACGTGCTACAGTAATTCAAACTAACAAGACAGAGCATGTGAACTCGAAGGTTTTCTCAGCATTTTGTACATACTCAAACCAATTGCTCGGTCTGGGACTATGGAGGAGAAGAGCCACGTTTGGAAGCCTTGGTGTGACTTGTCAGCACACTGTTGGTGTTCACAAACAGGCATTCCTGTGCAAGTGAAATAACCTGGATGTGCAGTTAACTTTGAATCAGCAAAATGTGAGTTTTATGCATGCAAATGAGGACATCCTGTTGCCAGTTCTCATTCTGTGGTGGTTGGAAGTTTGGCTTGGTCTGTGTAAAGAGAAACTGATCCCCACGTAGGTACTTCCCTATTTCTGACCTGGGTTCTAGTCATTTCAAATTTGACTTGGCTGCTGGGTTGTGTAAACCTGGCAGACTTTTTCAGAGTCCCTGGAAACTGAACTTGAGCTTAAAACCCAACCTGAGCATTCCCTTCCCAGCAGTTTTTGGCACAGTTGTGTCACGACAAGAGATCCTCGTTGGGCGCGAGGGGCTCTCGTTCGCTGTCCCTGGGAGCAGCCCCTGTTCCCAGCTGGGTGTGTGCATACCTCACGGAGTAGGAGGAATTTGGGAGAAATTGAATGTCAGGAAGCCTGTGCACTGCTGTGCAGCTGCCTCTCCCAAGGGGCACTGCCCTGAGCTTTCGTGTTCTTGCCATATCTGTGCCAAGCACGTCCGAGGGGTTTGCCGAGACACGGCCGCGGCTCTTGGTGTTACTTCATGGCCTGCACTTGGACCACGGACAGTTTGTTTCCTCCCCAGCTGGGGATCTCCTGACTTAGCCTCTGTGGGTAGAATTAGGAACAGATTTTGCTTCACATGGTAGCTCATTAGGGAGTCTTTGTATCATGGAACTGTGAACACGAGTGAATTCTCCTCCAGTACTTTCGTGGCTTCCTGCATGCGTATGATGGACGCAAAAAAAAAAAAGCACATGGGGTGACCTGGTGGTGATGCTCCTTGGTAGTTACAGCCTTTATGGCAAAGTCCTACAGTATTTTTGCAGGAGAAAGCAGCCAGCTGAGCTGTGGCTGCTTTAATCCAATGTCATGAAAGCTGATAGCAAGGGAATGTCTATTTTTTCTTTTAGGAAGACAATACTGGAGCTGAACAAAACTACTTTAACACTTCAACTTAAACCCCAGCAACTCAACCCTTGTAATAAGTACCAAAAGTGCAAGTCTTCACTAACCTTAAAAAAACCCCCAGTTGCCCCCCAAGCAGACTTGGCAAGACTAATTAAAAATTAACATAAGCAACATTGACCGCATTTGCTTAAGTGCTTTTTTGATACCTGCAGCCTTAGACTGTAAATCATTGTAATGAAAAAACCATTTATTCCAAATGAATGGATCATGCAGTAGCAGCCCTCCAGTTGGAATTGCACTGGCCATATGTCTCTGCAGGGAATGGGAAGAGGTAGGAAAGGATAAAGCAAAAGTAGCAAGTAATGATTTTTGGAAAGGGGTTTTGTAAAAGTAACTAGACTTCTAGGTTCTTCCTGAAATAGGCAGGATTTATTACTGGAACATTTAGGCTAAAATTCAATATATATGGGATGTTTTTCAATGTATATTCGTATTTCTTGAGGTCATGAAAACTGTTTCATAACCCCTTTGTTTTTGTGAGCAGAGTTCTTTGCATAGCAGTGAAAAGGGTATTCCTGTTAATCTATTGTGTAAAAACTCAAGGTGTCACTATATACCGTGTAGTAACTTTATCACATGTTATGTCAAGTGTGAGCAACTTCTGGCCTGAAGCTTTTGCAATGGAATTTGTACATTTCTATGCATCATTTTGAGTTCAATTGCTGAGGAGTTCGTTTTGACTTGTGCTTTGAGGTTGACATACTGCATTTGTTTACAATACGAAATATAAGCAATCACATCTTTAAAGTATAGATTATCACCTGCTGCTGTATTTTCTTTAGATGAAACAAATATTGCTGTATGATAGTGAGAAGCTATAAATACAGGATTTGATATTTTTTTGAAAATGCTGTCACTTTTGTATAAGATTAGACATTAAACGTATTTTCAAGACTGTTGTGTTCACTGTTTTTCAATTCCTGCTTTTGACATGCCTGTGTAGACTTTTGCCTTGAATGAATAGTAAAAATAGGACATCCTTGATTTGCAAAGCCTGAATATAAAATCAGAATTACTTGACTTCTGTGAGTGTTTTTCCTCTTCCTTTTGTAATATTTGCAGCCTGTACACGAGGGATATTAAATGTGGATGGGACCGTGGCTCTGGTGTAGCATGTCAGCCCCAGGTACTGCCTGTTCACAAATTCCTTGGTAATTAGGAGAGAAAAGCTCTGATCTTGCTTGCTCCAGAGGAGGAATGGGAGTGGTTTTTGCCTGTGAAGAGCTGTGTGTGTGTTTTCCCTGCCCCTGAACAATTCCTGTGCCAGATTGACACATGTGGATGTGGTAAGTGACCCCCAAACCCCTGTTCTTACACACTTCCCAGGAGTTTGATGGGATAAAGTGAATAACAGAAACTCCAGGGCTTGGCATCAGTGTGAACTACTGACTTTGGGCATCACTTGTGGCTGCATTTCCATGTCTTGGCTTGCAGAGCAGTTCACACTGAGCTGGCCAATGCTGCTGCCTTGGTTCACACCCTCACCCTTCAGGGAAGGTAAAAATGGCAGCAGTGAGCAGGAAATAATAGAAACAAAAAGCTCTTTTTAGGCCATGGTCCAAAAATAATCCTGACATCTGTTAATAGAACAGTGCAGTGTGTGGGCAGTGCTTTATCCTGACTGTTCAGCTGTGGGATTGTCCCTTCCTCTGGATTTCCCAAGTGAATTCTGTCTGCAACTCCTGTGCATCAGTAAAGACATGGCCATGCAGACCCAGTGGTGTTAATTGTTGCCCTGCAGACCTGGAGAACTTCAGTTTAATATTTTTGAGGGACCAAGTCCTGTGAGAGGGAGCTGGGAAGGGGCTCAGCCTGGAGAAAAGGAGGCTCAGGGGGGACCCTGTGGCTCTGCACAACTCCCTGGGTGCAGTCTGGGCTCTGCTCCCAGGGAACAAGGGACAGGATAAGAGAGAATTAAACTGCACCAGGGGAGCCTTAGATTGGATGTTAGAGGAAATTTCCTCCTGGAAAGAATGGTCCAGCCCTGGCACAGCTGCCCAGGGAAATGGTGGAGCCCCATCCCTGGAGGGATTGAAAAGCTGTGTGGATGTGGCACCTGGGGACAGGGGTCAGTGGTGGCCTGGGCAGTGCTGGGGGAATCATTGGACTCAATCTTAGAGGGCTTCTCCAAACAGATTCAGTGCTTCTAAGTGATATTTATATAATTCTTAGGAGTAAAAGCTGTTCAGGACTGTTGCAGAGAGGTCAGTGCAGGGTTCATCTTGCCGTGGGTGTGTCAGTTCTGCTCCCCTCCTGTGAGGGAAGGTGCCCAAACTCCTGTGGGTGAGCCCAGCTCCATTGCTGTGCCCAGCCATCAATGGATTCAGTGCCCAGCCACTCCAGACTGTCCCAAGAGAGGAAGGTGGTCAGCACAGGGTGGTTTGGGTTGGAAGGGGCCTTAAAAACCATCTCATTCCAGCCCTGCCATGGGCAGGGATTCCTCCCACCTTGATGGGAAGGGTGTCCTGAGCCTCAGTGCAGTGAGAGCCCTTCAGCATCCATGGAAGGATGAAATGTTCCATGTGTATTTTATCAATATTGGCTGCCCTATTTCTAAAGTTAAGCTCAGAATTCCAGTTGTTAGAGGGTGATTCCATACACACCAAACAGCCATTTATTCACCAGGCACTGGTGTCTGAGTGTCAGCTGGGCAGTGAAAAAACACAAATTTCAGCTTTCACCCAAAGCTTCCAACCAGCTGCTCCCCACAGCAGGAATAACCCTCAGTGTCCCACCAGGGTGTGCTCACCCCAGCCCCAGGGGATGAGCAGGGCCGTGCCAGGAGCACTGGAGCCAGCTGTGTCCCTGGGTGGGTGTTGGAGGTGTTTGTGCCCTGCAGGGCAGAGAGCTCTGCACCCACAGCCCCCATCCCTGGGCAGCCTGTGGGACCAGGGCTCTGGTCTGGAGAGGGCTGGTGCCTCCACCCAGGGGTTGCTTCCCTGTTCCACTCACTGCTGGCCCAGTTTTCCCATGTCCAAGGTTGGTGTAGTGGGATGAGCTGCTGTAACTTTTCCTCTGCTCCCACAGTAACTAAAAATGCCAGCTGATAACAGAGAGGGAACATATTTTTGGTCACTCTTGCCTGCAGAACCTCTCAGGTTTGTTGGAAGCAGGTTGTCCATGGAAACTATGGCTGCCCCATCTCTGGAATTGTCCAAGGCCAGGCTGGATGGGGCTTGGAACAACCTGGAGTCCCTGCTCATGGCAGGGGTGGGATTGGATCATCTCTAAGGTCTGATCCCACCCAAACCATCTGGGCTTCTGTGATGGTTTTGTTTCAGAGATCCCCTGGCTGGTCAGGTTGTCCTGTTTGGTGACAATGGGACTTTGCATCCCCTGAGCAGCAGATCCTGAGCTGCCATCAGTGCCAAGCTACACCCAGGTCAGTGCACAGCAGGAACAGTTCTGCTCCCTGTTATCACCTTCCAAAGGGAACCCTCCCTGTTAAATGAGAGACTGGGAGATAAAATCACAGTGCCTGTGTTCCTGTCCTCTTCCCAGTTTTCTCATGACAAGACAGGGAAGGGCTGTGTTGAGCAGCCCTTGGCACACCTCGGGTTTCATTTCAGGTCCTCCTCCTGCTGGCTGTGCAAGATCTTACCTGCTCTTGCACATTCATGTTCTTGTGATTAGGGGAGGGATTCCTGTAGCAATTAACCCCTAAACTCCTGCATCAGCTCAGTTTCATTCCAAGTGAGAACCAGGAACCTCCCAGTGTCCCTTCCCACCAGAATCACACAGCACTCTTAGAAAGTAGTGCTGGTTAAAAGCAAATATGGAATTTATCCATTTTTGAAATAAATTCAGGAGATGACAAAAGACACTGGATTTCATTTGGGAATTCCTGGGCTTGGCATGAATGGGGAATGGCATGAAGCTGTGCCAGGGTGGGTTTAGGTTGGATATCAGGAAAGGTTCTTCCCCCAGAGGGTGCTGGCACTGCCCAGGCTGCCCAGGGAATGGGCAGAGCTGCAGGGAGGCTTGGGCAGCACTGCCAGGGATGCCCAGGGTGGGATTGTTGGGGATCTGGGCAGGGCCAAGAGCTGGATCAATGATCCCTGTGGGTCCATCCCACTCAGGACACTCTGTGACACCCCTGGCTCATCAATGCATTGTCCTGGGGTAGATCCATGCTGAGAACCCCAGAAGTGTGTCCTGACAAGGGTGCTTTGTCGGGATACTCCACTTTTCTGACCTGTTAAAGGACAATGAAAAGTAACCCTGTGCTGTGGTGCCTTTTGAAAGGAACCTGCTTCATTTGCACATTGTGAAACCCTCACATTCCAGAGCTTTGTGACTTTTTTTTTACATTCCAGGGCTGTGTGACAGAAATGGTTCAGAGGGGTTGTTTCCAATTTGCCTGTGTGCCCTTCAGTTACAGGCAAGACCCTCCAGCAAAGACAAGGTGGCAGAATATCACAGTTTAAATTCACTTAAAGTGGGGGAAATTGCTGCTTTAATACCCTGGTGCTGCTCTCCCTGTGTGCCCAGCTCTATAAAACCAGGGTTTGCTGGCACTCCTCAAGGAGACAGAGTTGTTGATCTTGGAGGTTTTTTAATTTAATTCAAAGTCTCATCAGCTTCCACACCAGGCTTTCATTTCTGCATTTCTGCCTGGATTTTGTCCTGTTTCCCCTCAGAAAGCAACAAATACAATTATATATATATATAAAAATTATATATATATATATATAAAATATATATAATATCAACAAATAAACCTGGAATGCTGGGCTGATCACATTCATGGCTCTGTGCTGCCATTGTCACCATCCTTGTTTGATGCTGCTCTCCTGGGGCTCTGTCCTGGCTGGCAGAGTAGGGAGCTGCTAAAAGGAGAGTGGGGGTGGAGTGACATCAAGCAAAAACTGCTCTGAGTGGGTCAAAAAAAAATATATATAAGGTGTTGGGAAAATGAGTTTTTGAGTGTTGTGTGAAAGCAAAGCACGATGAGGCTCCTCTGGATTTTGCTCTCCGTGCTGGTGCTGCCCCCTCCACCACCAGCTCATCACCAGAGGGCTCTGCTGCGGCTCCACCTGCCCTGCAAAGCCTCTGGGAGAGGTGGCTGTGTCTGCTATTGATTATTTTAAACACTGAACTTGATAAAAAAATGGCAAACCCAACATTTTAGTGACATATGGTGCTGCTGGGAGAGGTTGTTAGGACCTGCAGCTTTGCACAGCCACTGCCTGAGCTCTGCTCTGCAGGAGGAGCACAAACACAGGAGGTTTAAATCTGGGCCCTGCTCAGTGTAAGGGTTCACAGCAGGATGGATTCCTGTGCTCTGCAAAAATCTAGTGCAGGAAAGAAGGAAAAGGACTCCTCCAAAGCTCTTCCCTCTCCTCTGGTTTCCTGAGATCTGGCAAAAACCACCCACTGAGGTTGGATTTGTGTTTCCCAGCCTCAAAGATTCTGTGATTGCTGTCTAATAAAGTTGTTTTAAACTCTGCAGAGTGGTTGGTACTGAGGCTTTATGCTGGCTGAGGCTGAGCTGTCCTGGCTTTCTTTGCCCTTCATGTGCCCAGCCCCATATGCTCAGGGTGGTGTCACACAGGGACTTTGCTCTCCTTGTGGAGCATCTGTCCCAGAGACAAGGGGGGTTTTCCCTGCCCTCAGTGAACTGATGAAATCCCTTCCTTCAGCACAGCACTTTTCCTCTCAGCTCTTTAGGCTGGAGTGGTTTCTGGAGGGGTTGGCTGGACAAGCACAGAGGGCAAGAAAAGCACCAAGGTCTTGGATTTTGGGGCAATGAGCCATGGGGGCTTTGGCCCCACCTGCACCAGCATTTGGGGTCACTGTAGGCATTTCTGCTGCAGTTATTTAATCATATTTGCATGCAGGATGCTCCATAGGAGCCCCTGGGCAGCAGGCTGCAGAGGAGGATGGAATTTCTATCAAGTTCAAAGCCAGGGGGAGTGTGAGGACTTCTGTAAAATCTTTGCTGACACAAATTGCTACGAGACTCATTCAACGCTCGGAAAGCAGCTCTTGCTCAGCTCTGAATGCCAGCCTCAAAGTGC